TATCAATACCATCATTAAGTTGCAAATTCTAGTAGCCAAATTTGATATCATTACTTGGGAAGTACTTATACCACTCAAATAATAAGCACTGGTACCCTAAGTAAAAGTATCAATATTGATTTAATTTCTAAAGCATCGAATGTAAACATTTGATATTGGTACCTATAATGGTATTAGTACCTTAATATATAACTAATGATACTTCATATAAGGGTAATAATATTATAAGGTATTCTCAGAACATCAAATGTAACTCTAGTATACGTACTAAGGGAATGTATCAATATTGTCAGATCGATATCAATACTAAATGGCTAAGTATTTGTGCCATCGTATTTAATTGGTTAATAAGTTAAACTTTGAGTTAAGGGCTTGAGAAGGAATCTAGAACCATCAAAACTTCTCCAATGAACTTACAAATGAGAACAGTAAATGAATACAACAAAAGCTTAAGAATCTTATGAAGTAAAATGCCATAAAACTTATGCCTTTGTGTGATGCTTGGGAAACAATGAGGATAACCAAGTTACTATAGCAAATACGATGATCTTCTTGTTTAATTAGAAATATTCGGATATATCTCAACTAGTGTCAAGACACTTATCTTTGTTGACTGGATGAAGATATCTTATAACGCCTTAGATTTTGGGTTAGGAGTTTTGGGACTTCCCGAGTTGGGCCTTGAATTAATTCCTTAGTTTATGAGAAGTTTTGACCCAAATGAGATGGATTTGGGCTTAAACCAAGCCTAATGAAGAGTAAAAAGGGATTTTTTTAGTCTGCAATCAGAATCAAAGGGACCAAGAAAGTAATTTCACCATTAAAGATTTCAAAAGTTGAATAGTTATTAATTATGAGTGATATCACGTTGTCTCCTCCCTCTTTTCTCAACTCTTCTTTGTCTTCTTCTCTTCTCTTAATCTCATTCTTCTTCAAGATAAGCCTAAAGGTGGAATCTTTATAGCATTCCAAACCCCATCAGCAATTTAAAGGTAAGAATCATAACCATCATCTCCTAACATAACCATCATCTCCTAAACTTCAATTCAAGCCTTCCTTTGCAAAGTTTAGCCATGGTAACCAAAAATAGGTTTTGTGGGGGTTTATCAAACCTATGGATTTTAATTCATTTCTATAGATTTTTAGGCTTAGGAAATGTTTTTAAAGTTTCCTAAACCTCAATATCCATCTAGTGACCCTCATTATTTGATTCTTGCTTAGTGAGAGATGTTGGAGAGAGCTCTCAAGCTAAAGAGAATGAAAAACTTACTTTGGGTTGAGCTTTGAGCACCCCCAGTAGTCTAAACGCTCTAGTAACTCAATCTTAACTAATCAATAACATATGTAGTTCATCTAGGTGAGATTTGGTAAGTTGCATAAGCTTAAAGCATTCATGGTAGATTGCATCATTTGAGTGTTTTCGGCATGTTTATAGACCCATTATGACCTCTATTATCACATAAAACATCTAAAAATCAGTTGGATACCTCAATGGGGGCATTTGGGTATGAAAATATAGGATTTTCGTGCCAAAACAGAGCACCCAGTAGCGATTGTATCGATACTGGCCTTCAGTCAGGCATAAATTACGCAGTTTAGTATCGATATGCATTCATTGAGTATCGATACCAGGGCAGAAGTATTGATACTCCCCATAGGGGTATCAATACTTAGGTATTTTTCAAAATATCGAATCGACATTTGGTATCGATACTCATTCAAGTATCGATACCCCATCACCTTAGTATCGATATTCATATGAGGGTATTGATACTGCCTTAATCCAAAAGCCACGTCAGCCAAGGGGTATCAATACCATCAGGTGGGTATCGATACCCAAAGTTTAGTATCGATACTAAAGGATCAGTATTGATACCCATAAACAGATTTGGATAGATAATCCAAGAATTTAAGGATGAGATCGGAGGTACCCTAAATACTCTAATAACAACAAATAAGACTTCAAGCGAGAACAATAATAGATATCATAACAGTAGAAATAGTAACAGCTAGGATTTCATAAAACTAGCATTGTTTGACGCTCGGAAAACAACTAGAACACCCGAGTTCCTCTTTAGCATAACACGACAACCAGTGGATATCCAAGTCAGTTCCAAGGCAGTTCAATAAGCCAACTAGGTGCAAATTCCTCAAGACTAGACGGAGTAAGTTGGCTAGTGTATGTTTCTGTTGTAACTCCAGATCTCACCCTAGATACCCGAGGAATGCTAGAGGGGTGCATGAGCTTCGATATGCAGAACCGTCAACCGTACCATGATACCTACTCGGTAGTTAAATCAGTAGCTTTACATGTTTGGACTTGTGTCTTCAACTATCTTATTTAGTGAATACATGTAGTATAGTAAAGTTATTAGCGAGGCATTGAGCACGTAAGTTTGGCGTTCGGAATGTGTTTACGTGTGCAAGTTCTTAGGGGCAGTTTAAGGGGAGTTATCGTCACCAGACATTCCAATATAGCATACCAGGCCATCAGAGACCATCAGAGTACATCTTGAGTCATCTTTAGAGTGCATATACTATTTACGGACCTTGTGTACTATTTAGTCGTAACTTTGATTATGTTTAGTATTGTATTATTTTGGATTTATTTTGGGTGTTCCCCATTGTTTTGTAAACTCAGATTATTACCCCGTTTTACTTTTACTATTATGGATAATCTATTTCAGTGATTTATTAAGCAGTTTTAAAAGAAATTTTAAAGTCATTATTTCGGTAGTCCCATGTAACATTATAATCCATGGATCTTCGGGTCAAATTGGATTAGAGTGTTACATGTCCTAAGTACTCCAAGGGGTAAACGAGCCTAGTATACATTTTTATGTAGAAATTCCAAATCTTACCTTAGATACCCGAAGGTATCATAGATAGACTAGAGGAGTGTAATTCCCAAAATACAACAAATCCTTCAACCACGCCATGATGCCTACCTCATTTTGTTTGTATTAATGTTCTTATATGTTTATGTATTTTCCTACTAATATGAATATAGTGAATACACGTAGTATAGTATAGTATAGTTATTTGTGTGCACTGAGCTTGTGAGCTCAACGTTCATAATTTCTTTCCGTGGTAGGTTCTTTGGAGGTATCAAGAGGAGCTTATTATCAACTCATGTTCCATATTTGTCGAGGCATCAGAATACGTCTTGAGTATACTTTAGAGTGAATATAATATTCATAGACTCTTGTATATTCGAGTTGACTCTATTCTAATATAATATTATGTTATTATTTTGGATGTATTCGGGAGTTCTCCGCTTTTGTAAACTTGAATAATTATGTTTTATACACTGTTTCAATTGATGGCATTTTAAATAATGATTACTACGTTGTTTTAAAGAAAAATTTAAGTTAGCCACTTTGGTGGTCCCCGTGTAATGCTTTAGTCTTTTAAATTTAATATCGGATTGAATTAGGGTGCTAAATTTAGTGGTATCAAAGCGTCATGTTTAGTTGTTCTTAAGACCCACATGTTAGAATCAATAAGAATCTGTGTATTTACATGCCTCTTGATTGTCAAAAATACTTGTTATCTAAACAGAATGGTAGAGATGAAAGTCGTGCCTCTAAAATATCAAGAGTATTTGTTATTGTGACATTTTTTTATTCTTCTCAGCATCAATAAATTTTATTTTTATTTTTATTATTATTATTATATATTTTTATCTTTTTGCATTATTACGCGCACACATATATATATTATTTTTATATCTTTTACTTTTTACATTTTATCTTTCACGACTATTTCCACTTTAATTTTATTATTATATATAATTTTACTAACATATATGTAAATAATTTTTTTATTTTCTTTATTTTTCTTAATCTATATATTTATTATTTATTCATCACTATTTTATTACACTATTTTTCTCTTATCGTGTTTTTATATTTATTATTTTGTCATTATTATTTAATATGATCGCCACTAATATTTTTATTTTGAGACAACATATACTTTTTAACTAGGTATTAATTTTACCACAAATGATACGTTTGTCAAAAAAACTATGTATTATTTTTAGGGTGTTAACCTATTCCGAACTCAATTTTAATTATAAACTTAAACGTGAACCTTTCAAAATATATATATATATATATATATATATCATTTTATAGGTATTCGATCATATTTAATTCAAAGTAGTTGATGAGACGATCCTAACTATGTAACGAGTTATTAAAAAAAACTCAACACATTTGAACTACCATAAAATAACTTCAATAATATATTTAATCTAATTAATATATTATTAAATGATAAATTAATTCAAGTCTATTGGATTAAGTGGTAAGGAATTTGAAGCTCTTTAAGCATGGTTTTGGGTATGTATATTTTTAGTGATCTGTGATGGATTATAATATAGTATATGTTCAACATTCGCTTAACCAATTGACAATGAATATATACACTTTGTAGACAATGTCGTTTAAGCTCAAAACCTCTAAAGAGAATAATACTCCATTTAACTACTAAGTCTCTTGGATTGGAAAAAAGTGTGAGAAGTGATTTTTTTCTCCATTTAGGGGTCAGTCTGGCTCAGTTTTAGATACGGTTAGGATTCATATGATTAAGTAGAGACTTGATGTCCTTCCGTCTCATCTTTTTATTTATTTAAATTATTTTAGGAAATTTATATACATTTTTAAAAAATATATATATTTATTTTTTAAACTGTAAAATTTTAAGATTTTTTATTTTTAGAAATATAGTTAACAAATTATAAAATCAGACAGATATAACAATCGATAGTGTTAGTAATCAAAATATAAATGTTATCAATTTAAAACTATTTTTTTTTCAAAAGAAAAAACTTTTTAAATATTAACGGTAAAAACGAAATCTTAACAAAAAGTTTAGTACCGTTTGTATAATTGACCCTTAAGAGAAACAAATTGAGGCTCTTATAACATCAATGAATGGTTAATTACAAAAAGTATATTCATCGATTCCGACGAATGGAAATATAAACTTCTCCGCCGTATCGGAGTTGCAGTCGCCACCACTTTTATTTAAAATGCCGTTTTCTTTCAATTTATATGCAGAATAGCTATAGTTTTAGTGGCATTGATTTAATCCAAAAGGGAAAGCCAGGCCAGGCGACGTTCTTCTCCGCCTCTTCCTTTTCAAAGAACGCCAAAATGAAACCAAGTTGAAGAAACCCAGAAGAGAAAACAAATAATTTTGACGAATTCTTGTTTTTGGATCGATTTTGATTATCTGCAATGGACCCTGCCATTTTGGACAGTATCATATGTCGTTTATTGGACACTAAGCAGGCAAAGTCAGGGAAACAGGAACAGCTGATGGAAGATGAGATCCGTAAGCTTTGTATTGTTTCTAGAGAAATATTTCTTCAACAACCCACTCTTCTTGAACTTACAGCTCCCATTAAGATCTGCGGTACGCCTTTACGTTTTCATTCTTTTGAATATATATACATATATGCACACACACAGTTTTTTATTTGATTCTTGAATTTTCCATTTGAAAACGGTGGAACTTTTGTTTTTGTTTTTTTTTCTTTAGGTATTTTGTTTTCAGGATTTTGGCGTTTCAAGTTTTGGTTTGATAAGGAAAAAAGTTGAAAACTTTAGGAATGTTTGAATGAGAAGAATTGAATGCATTGAAGGATTTTTTGTTGTTGGAATGATCATATATGTGCTTAGGATCTGCATTGAGAGAGTTCTTTATTTCTTATTTAAGTTGCATTTGAAATTAATGTTTATGATGTTGTTCTTGGTATGATTGGTTTCTTGTCCTGATTTCTGATTGAGGTAAAATTGAAGTATGTGATTAATTGTGGTTTGGAATATATTGTAAATGAGGCCTAACCCGTTGTTTCTTGGCTATTAACCAACTCTGCTATGAATATAATCTGAATTAGATGAGAGATCTTGATGGTCCGTACTTGACACAGTCTTGATGCATTGCATCCTTTTTTAGGTTTCCTCTGGATTTTAATGCTATAGGAGGAAGAGAGGGTAGTAGCTACAGTCTAGGTACGAGAATGTTTTTATTCTCAACGGCTTCTTTCAACCTTAGTTACTTGAGGATGCCATGTAAGGACCGGAAAGTCCGAGGTTGAGAGAAGTCGGCCATTTCAGGGGAATGGATAGGGAAGATAGAAGATTTACGTTGATAATCAATGACTACACTTAGATTCGTTGATTGTTAAACTAGAACCCATTTATTAGTTGAAATTTATTATGTAGAAATGCTTATCCTAGAATTGGGGAATTATGAGGTCAAGAAAAGAAAAAAAACGTGAAAGTTATGTTACCGTTTCTCTTCTTTGCTGGAATAATCACTTGTTGGGAGGGTAGAGAAGATTTTTGTATGTGAAAATTTATAAATTCAATTAGATCATAAACTGATGAGCAGGTTGCTTTTTGTAGGAAGGAAAAAAATATTAATTCATGCCCTTTAACTGAGTTGAAATAACTAATTGTAAGCAAACACCTTATTTGATCTCATTTTGTAGCTAATTTTCTATCCAATCAGGGTATACAAATCAATTTGATCTCATCTGTATATAAATTATGTGCTTTGGAGATTGTCAAATCTATGCAATAATGCAAATCTGTGTTTTAAAAAGCGCGCCTGAGGCGCTTTGAGGCGCTAGGCGAGGCGAGGCGTTTAGAAAAAAGCCTCCGACCACCAAGGCGGCGGCGAGTACATGAGGCGGCGATTCAGTCGTCGGAGGCGACGAGGCGACGAGGCGATGCTTTTAGCGATTCACGTACAATGACCCATTTTTAAATTTTGAGTCTGGGCTCGATTTTCTTCCAACAGTCAGACCTTTTAAATTCCAATTACTTACATTAATGTATTCCTGGAACTTTGAACTGTCTCTTGACCTTCTAACGTCCAATTTTTAATTACTGTATGTCTATAAATCATGATCCAAGCTCTCTAGTTTCTCCGATGCATACCCTGGAGCTTCTTTTCCCTCCTAAAATTTTCTCTCCCTCCTCCATTCATGCTTAATTCAGCGATTGTTCTACGTTGAAGTTGAAAGCAGACTCCTTTCTCAGTTTCTCCTATCTCCTTTCTCGATTTTCTCTATTAAGGTAAGTCTTAATTTTAAAATTTGTATCACTGTAGTGTATGTACAATCTGCTTTTCTTTTCCCCTCCACTCCTACATGGTTAATTTACTTCACTGTAATTTGTTTAATTGCTTCATCTTCAATGTAATTTGTTTAATTGTTTATATATTGGAAGACACAAGCTTTCTTTATCGGTTATCATAGCTGTAGATATATAATCCGCTTCATTGTTAAGGTGATCTGCTTACTTGTTATTTTGTTAAGGTAATATGTTTAATTGTTTATCTATAATATGTTTAATTGTTAGGTAATCTGTTTAGAATTTAGATATATAATCCGCTTCATTGATGTTGATGACGATGATGATGAAGACGAGTTTTAGGCATTTTGATTATTGATGATGTTTTTATTTGTCTTTTTGAGATACAATATGACCTATGCTACTTGGTATTTTTGCTTATTAAGTTGTTTTGTGTTTGAGGTATGGTTATAAAATATTTACTGTAAAATTAAGCGCCTCGCGTACGTGAATCTCTCGCCTCAAAGCGCCTCAAAAAATTGAGGCTCTCGGGTAGCTAATCGCCTTGGAGCGCCTCACGCCTTTTAAAACACAGATGCAAATATCTTCCTAAGCTTGCATTTTACTTCTCTACTTTATACGCATGAACCTTTGGCATTGGCTTCTATTGGAAGACTAATATTGAATGATTAATTGAGCGAGCTCAAAGTTCTTAGGTAGTGTTTGAAAACTAAACCTAATTTTAAAGAAAATCAATGGTGAGGAATTCCTCATACTTTTGTGAATGTGTCCTGTTATAAGTAAATACTAAATAGTATCAAAAATTAGAGGAAAGGGTACTTGTGTGGTGCAACTGGTTAGTTTCGGCTATGAATAGGTAAGGCAATGCAACCTAAAGAGATATTGTAAAGCTGCTTATTAGTTTCACATGTGGAACAATTTAGAGTTCTAAACTATCACGTTCAGTTTATGCAGAGGAGGCAACTATATCAAAATGGTAAAGTTAAGACAGGAAACACGGAATACATCTCAATATTTCATGTGCTATTTTGAACATAGTTCTGGATATATCTTCCTAATTTTGATAGCTGGATTAAACTTTTTAAAAGAAATTTTAATAATTTGTGTTCTGTCTTTCCTTGTTCAGGTGACATTCATGGACAGTACACTGATCTTCTGCGGCTTTTTGAGTGTGGAGGTTTCCCTCCTAATGCTAATTATTTATTCCTGGGGGACTATGTTGATCGTGGCAAGCAGAGTCTAGAAACAATATGCCTTCTGCTGGCCTATAAGATCAAATATCCTGAGAACTTCTTTCTTTTGCGAGGGAATCATGAATGTGCTAATATTAATCGGATTTATGGATTTTATGATGAATGCAAACGAAGGTTCTCTGTGGGAGTTTGGAGGACCTTTACTGAGTGTTTTAACTGTCTTCCCGTGGCTGCTGTAATAGATGATAAAATATTGTGCATGCATGGTGGTCTTTCCCCTGATCTATCAAATTTGGATCAAATTAGGACTTTAACCCGTCCAATAGATGTTCCCGAGTCTGGTATGCTTTGTGATTTACTTTGGTCAGATCCTGGTAGGGAAATCAAAGGGTGGGGTATGAATGATCGGGGAGTCTCATACACCTTTGGCCCAGATAGAGTTTCTGACTTCTTAATGAAAAACGATATGGACCTTATTTGCCGTGCCCATCAGGTTAGGCACTTTGCTTACTTTTTCTCTTAGTGATCTGTTTGAGTGGAAGCTAAACAGCTGACCATGATGCTTATTTCAGGTTGTTGAAGATGGCTATGAGTTCTTTGCTGACAGACAGCTTGTTACAGTATTTTCAGCTCCCAACTATTGTGGTGAATTTGATAATGCGGGTGCAATGATGACTGTTGATGAAACCCTAATGTGTTCTTTCCAAATTCTGAAACCCGCTGAGAAAAAGTCCTCCTGGTTCCATTGAGGAACATGACGACTTCTGTGTCTGTTCCTACATAGAATTTCTGATGTAAGTTTCATTCTATACCATGAAGCAAATTATCTATTTCTCAGAGTTTGAAATGTTGGTTTTTACTGATTGTAGTTTAGGTTATATGTTGAACTCTTATTTTTGTTTCAGTGATATTTGGTTTCAAGCCATCTTTTCATGCTTATGAACATGCTGAGAGCTCTTCAGCACTAATAATATCTACACATAAGATTTATTTATTTATAGTTACAAAATTGGTAACGGCTTGACACATAGGTCACAGAGGTCACATGTCCTGATGCTCTATAACTTAAAACTTTTGCTTTTGATTTTTTATCATTTGCCATCATTTCTTGTGTTTATGTACATGTTTTCATGGAATTCTTGTGAAATCTTGCACTTTTTCCTGTTGTTTATTAGTTTATAGTTTGTGGTTAACAAACATGTAATATTCGATGCACTGTCGGTCCATAAGAGTCTCATGTCGTTAACAAACATTTAATATTTGGTGCATCAAATATAATCCCTTTGATTAAAGCTTGCATAGTTTTTCCAAAAGCTGTTTTCAGTTGTGATAGTGATTGCTTGTTTGTTGTTAACCCCGTAAGTTTTTGGTCATCCTACTCATTCTTGTGAAGCTATCTTTTACTTTGCCATTGTTGGTTTTAACATATTTCTTGCAATGCAGCTGTGACCGGAGACGACGGATCTTCGGCCCTCGAAAATTTATAACCGAAAAGCAAGACATGATTGTTCCACATCGGGTTAACCGATGTGTGACACGTGATGCTTTGATTTAAATAAATAAATGATAAAAATTTGTATATTACTTTGAATTTTGGATGGCAACAATTGCTACTGAACAGGGATGGGAACAATGGGTTCCTTCTCTTTGGTTCTTGCTCTTTTCTTTTTGGGTGCAAAGGGGGTTGTAATTTAGGGATTGCGTTTGAATCCAAGCTTTGAGAGTTGATTTATTGCTTAAAGTAATGTTGATTTTGATCAATAGATTTCTTGTATTACTACCCCCAATGAAATCAGATACCATGAAGATCCTATAGGCAGAGCTGGAAGTTTTGCATCTCTTGGGGTTACTAACACGCTTGTAATAAGAAATTGGGCCAATTGTTGATGATTATAACAATTAGCCACTACGATTAATTTAAATTACGAAGTTCTGAAAATTTATTTAAATGAGAAAATAATTAAATTACCATTTTCTTTTTGCAAAAACACTTATTAAATTTGATGTGATTGTCCGAATAATAATCTATGTATATGTTATGTTGATATGACATCATTCGTCTTATTTATTATGTCAACTTGGGGAAATAAAATTTGATTCCACTTAAATATATATTTATATTTTTACATTTTTTTTTTTTTAAGTCATACGAGTTACTTCAAATTTTTTATTCGAATTTTAACTTTGAGTCTAATTTAAATTTATAAAATTTGAATAATTTAAAATCTAAACGATGTGGTTTTGGTTTTTGATTAAGTAATTTGGTTATGTTTATGATTTGATTCTTAATATTCTTATTTGAGCAATTTTTCCTTCACTTTTGACAAAATTTAAATCGCATACTCTTCGCAACTCCAGAATACTTTTGTAACTTCAATTTCTTTTTCAAAATATATTTTTTAATTTTTTCAATTTAACCCTTTAGGATTGTATTTTATTTAATTTAGTCCTTCCATCGAAACTCTTCGTTGTTTCTTTCTTCTCATCAATTCTTTGAATCCTTTATACTTCAACCAATATTTTATTTGCAAAATTTCTTCTTTAAAAAATAATATTACAAATATATTATATAATTTTAGATGATATTTGATTTATTAAATATCATTACAAATCTTATTTACACATATGAAAAGCATACATACATACATACATACATACATACATACATACATACATACATACATACATACATACATACATACATACATACATACATACATACATACATACATACATACATACATACATACATACATACATACATACATACATACATACATACATACATACATACATACATACATACATACATACATACATACATACATACATACATACATACATACATACATACATACATACATACATACATACATACATACATACATACATACATACATACATACATACATACATACATACATACATACATACATACATACATACATACATACATACATACATACATACATACATACATACATACATACATACATACATACATACATACATACATACATACATACATACATACATACATACATACATATACCGTAATATTATAAATAATTATATTTAAATTTAAATTTAAATAAATACTCAAACAACTATATTTGATTCAACTCAACTTGGACATAAATTAGACTAAAAATATTCACATAAAATTTGAATAATAAAATAATATTCATAAACTCAATTAACTCATGTTTTCCTGTTCTATTCTACTTGACTCGATTGAGTATTCACATTTAACAACAACAAATAACTTTAAAATTATAAAAGGAATTAAAATTTCTAAAAACTTAACATGAAACATACGTAAATTGTGGTGTATGATGAGATTTTTCGAGTAATTCATGAAAATTTAGAAAGCCTTTCCATGTCTAGTATGGTGCTTACATGGATTATTTGTAAATTTTCTTTTGAAAAACTGTTATGCACGATTTCACGCCAATACTCGTAAAAATTTAATGCTAAAGGTAACATTTCCATTAAAAAGAAGAAAGAATCAAATTTCATAAGAAAATGAAGATGAAATTGATAAAAGAAATTTATGATGATGCCTAATTGTAGATATCCATTTTCGTCTGAGACATCAAGTGTTTTTTTTTTACAATATTTATATTATTATATAATATATAACATATATAAAATAATTTCAAAAAATGTATATAATATATGGTTTTTGAAAATATATATTTTTTGAAAATATATATATAATTTTTGAAAACATATTATAATTTTTGAAAATATAATATATGTTATATAGTTTTTAAAATAAATATAGTGTATGTATTATTTATTATATTATATATATATTATTTTATATTTTATATTTATTATATTATATTATTATTATTATTATTATTCAATTTATTTCTAGGTTCAAATCCAATCCAAATAAAAGTCGAACAAAGTCCATCCTGGTCCAAGTCAAATAAAAGTCCAACAAAGTCCATCCCGGTCCAAGTCAAAGGCAAGTCCAACCGGTCCAGAGTGAAGCCCAACCGAAGTAAGCCTGACTGTTGAAAACATTTTGATGTTTCGATATAACAAATTAAGTTAAATGAATTTTAATATTTTCTAAAAGATTTTCTAAGTATATTCGATATAATTATTCGAATATCAAAATATTACTCCAAGTCTTTCAAAGTTCATTTTAATCCTTACTAAAGTGTAAAATTGTGTTTTATACTTAAACTATTTTTAAAACAAATTTACAAAGTATTTCGAACCGTTTCAAAGCCAAGAAAAATCAGATTGTCCAAGGGTACAGATTCCCCCCAGGGGGTACAGATTCCCCCCAGGGGGTACAGATTCCCCCTGCAGCTTTTTGGCTCCGAGAAAACAGAATGTCCAGGGGGTACAGATTCCCCCCCAGGGGTACCGATTCCCCCTTGTCTAACGGTCGAAATCAGATTGTACTTAGGGAACCGATTCCCTATGAGGGGATATCGATTCCCCCCACGCTCCAAGCTGTTTTATTAATGGATTCTCATCTCCAAACGGCTCCAAAACATCCCCAACGGCTATATACGACTTCAAACACATTCCAAGCTATAAATACAAGCTAAGGACACTTGAAGAAGCAAGAGAACAACTATCCAAGCAATCAAACACAAGAGAAGAGTTTTTCAATCTTATTTCATCTTTCTCTTGTAAATATTTTATTCTTATGAGCTCAATCTTGTAAACACCTGCCTTAGAGAGGTTTTCTTGTTTACATCTTTTATCCTTTTGTAAAGGGGAAAGGTTCTAGCTTACCAGTGTAAAAGCTAGAGAAAGGTTCTAGTTTAGCCCGGAAAAACTAGGGAGTTTGTAAGGTTACTCTTTATCCTCAAAAGAAAGAACAAATTAGTGAATTTGTTGGAAAATCCTTGGTGAGGAGCTAAGGTAGTGGACATAGACTTTGGTTGAGAAAGTCAAACCACTATAAATCGTTGTGCAATTATCTATCTTTCAATCTCTTTACTCCCTAAACACAAAACCGTTCCGACCTCTCTTTACAAATCGTTCCGGTTGTCGATTTGAGCTTCCGAAAATCCTAACAATTGGTATCAGAGCCTAACTTGTTAAGAAGGTTTAACCACCTTGAGATGAACCTCGAAGAAGCTCTACCAATTCCTGACACAACCGAGAAGATGGCTTCCACCTCCGGCTCGTTCCACATGGAAGACTCTCTACCAACCGACAAACCTCCATACTTCAATGGAGTCAACTATCATCATTGGAAGAAATTAATGAAGGTATTCATCCAATCCAATGATCTTGATGCATGGGAGATAATCGAGAACGGCTACTCTTCTCCAAAGAAGAAGGAGAAGAAGAGGAGTGACAAAGAACGGAATAAAGCTCAACTTAGTGCCAAGGCTATGCACATGTTGTTTTGTGCATTTTATCATAAAATCTATGAAGGGGTTTCTTCATGTTCAAGTGCCAAGGAGCTTTGGAATAAGCTTGAGGAAATCCATGGAAACAAGAAAGAAGAACCAACAAAGGTAGTGTCTCTAATGGCTCGTGATGAGCCCGAGGTATCTTCTAACTCAAATGAATTTAATTCATATACGTTTGATGAGTTACAAGATGATTTTAATAGGTTATATTCGGAGTTTGAGACCATGAACTCCAAATATAAGAAAATGATTTCAAAATTGAAAATTGAAAATGATTTTCTTTTGAAAACAAAAATAGATTTTGAAAGCCAAAATGAAATTTTGAAAAAGGATTTAGAGCTTTCAAAAATAAAAATTGAAAGTTTTGAAAAAGAAAATTTTGATTTAAAAGTTAAGCTTGAATGCTTAACAAAAGAAAAAGAAATCATTTT